ACATCTATGTGGCCATTGATAAATTGCATTGGCAATTCACAGTTTTACTAAAGGCATATGAAGTCAGGACCGACCAATTCTGTTAAATCAGATCAGAAGCTTTCGGAAAATCAGTAATAATGCACAGGAATTGAAGATTTGTCAACGGCTGCATGACGGCCAAAGGTAAACTGAATGCATCCGGCATTTGAAAGTGGATTGAGAATTAAAAAAAAAAAATTTGTAACGACACTTCATTTATGCACGGTTTTATTTATTTACAATGTTCCCAATTATACTCTATGCCTCATTCAATGTTTAAACTATACAGAAATGATGGCTAACCAAAAAATGTACTACTGCCTTCTGCCTTGTTGATTAGTCACAAACCTGTACCCTTGCTCTTGACACTAAAAGCCTCTGTACTTTTTGTGACCCTTGTTGGTTAGATCACTCATTATCTTCTTACGTCATGTGCATTTAATCACTAATATTTTATACAGTTGTTGAAACTGCTGTTGCCACAGCTTGCCACATATGTTTTTCTTAATTGCATTTGACGAAAAAAAATACATTTAGAAAAACAAAAACAATCTATAAAGATTGTAAAAAAACAACACCTTTTAGTAAATAGTAAAAAAAATAATCTCAGTGACACAAGGGTAAATTATATGGGTGGGTGTATATGTTTGAAAGGTAACTGTGTGTGTATGAGGGTAACTGTGAGACATGTTGAGTGTGGGGGTGAGTGTGTCAGGGTGAGTGACAGGATGACAGTATGTTTGTGGGGTAAGTGTGACAGATCGAGTGACATGGTGACTATGTGTGTGGTGTAAGTGTGGGGGGAATGAATGTTACAGCATGAATGACAGGGTGACTATGTATGGTGGTGGGTGAATGTGATGGGCTGACTGTGGAGGGGTCAGTGTGATGGGGAGTGACAAGGTGACTATGTTTCGGCGGGTGAGTGACATAGTGACTGTGTGTGGGATGCCTATGGCTGGATAACTGTGTGGTGGGTGAGTGTAACAAGGTTGCTTGTGGGTGACTATTTATGTCAGGATGAGTTGAGGATAGATCCTATGGGGGAGACTGTATATTCTGTAGAATCTGCAGACCTTTTTTTTTTTTTCTGCAGTAAAGGTAAAGATATATAATATTTATTCCCTGGCGGTCCAGTGGATTCCTCTTCGTAGAATCCATTTTAGCAATTTAATATTAAACCCAGTCTTTCACTGCTAGGTAAGCAATTGCTATAACTGGTGCATAAAAATAAACAAATCATATTTTCCTCAATAAACTATTCAGTACATTGTGATTGGACACATTTTTAGAAAAAAATGCACAAATAAAATACCATAGTACTCAATCAGGGTTATTCAGTAATGTGAGAAGTGAAAGTGAATTTCAAAGGTGATGTCAAAATAGCCAACTGTAAAAAATATCTTAGCTATGCTGTCAACTCTTTATTAAATAATCCCAATAGTTTGTAATTTAATTTAGATTTTTGGCAGTGTCTATTGAGATGGAACAAGCTGCACAGGTGTCACTGTCTCCACAGTGGTAGAAAGAGGATCCAGGTACTTCAAGTATCTTCACTTGTATTTATTTTTGCAAACACTGTCTCCGCAGTGGCATATAACACTTTTTCAATAGATTGATAAAGATTATTTCCTTCAAATGTCTCCCAGTGTTGCCATAATGGTAGTCATTTTCTATTGCAAATTCTCGATGGCTATTGGCCAACATTTTCTTGCTTGATCCATTATTTATCTTATAGCAAACGTAACAGTCGTTCACTTGTTCAGTGTCCTAAGGGAGGACAATCTTGTTGAGTAGGTTGTAGCACAGCAGGGCTTACTTACTAAAGGAAAACCGTGAAAACAGTGATCTGTGTTAATAAGCAGATAATGATTGGTTGGAAATTGAATTAACTCAATTAAATAAAATGGAAATAATGATGAAATGTATTATATTTCTTTGTCCTTTTGTATATGAAAGTATTGCAGCACTTACCCTAGTCAGAATACATCAAAGTTGCATAAGTTCATGGGATAAGCAACCTATGACACATGTCCTATGCATGACATTTGAGGTTCCTTTGCATTGCACTTAAGGCTGCCAAACCCAAACCGGCTCTGGCCTATCAAGAGTTCCAGTGGGACTTCAGTGCAAACCAAGCTGTGATTGCAGGTGGTGAGGGATAATCCTCAATTTACGCATTGCAACACTTAGGGATGTCCTCTTGGATCACTTCCTCCCAGCACTTGTGAATAGGAATCGGCACTGAAGAAGAGCAGCCTGCAGCAGATATTGCAGCTTCTGTCCTGGACCTGAACCTGGCCACCCTGGTCTCCACTGGACCCCAGTGAATCCACCCACACTTTTAGATATGCACAGAGCTGCAGAAGAATCATTTCCCTATACAAATAATACAAACAGCCCACTCAAGGAACACACACACACAATCCCCACAACACTGACAATCGACATACATATACACAACCCCACAAGCAGCCTTATATGCAATACCACAATTAGCACCACAAATAAACACACCACCAAACACACTATGTGACATATAATCCACACACACAATTTCACAAGCAGCCCCTATACACAGCTCACATTCATAGGTAATGATGTGGAATCAATCAATAAATTGATTATCTTGCGTATCTGCTCCCGGCCAAATTAAGAAGTAATGCATGCACGCTCCTAAAGTAATTCACACCGGACACAAGTTTCGGGTTAATGAAAAACTTAAGGAATGTTTATTCTGAGGGCACGGCATGTCCCTTATAAAGCAAAATTACATCATATAAACGCTACGGAATCTGTTGGCGCTATATAAATGGCAATAATAATAATAATATGCATTGTCAGAGATAACATGGAATAATACATCAATAATTGGTTAGGTGTTAAGTGGTTTATTTAGTATTCTTCCTACCGGGTGTGATTTCACTGGTATCTTGGAGGTCTCCCCCAGATTCCAGTGCCATCTTGTTAATAAGGGTGTTAGTCGATGTCAAAGGGAAACTCCCTAGCGGCCATTTTAGGTAAATCACATAAAAAGTTGAATAATGCTGATTGTAGTTATATTGAGTAAATAGGCATTTTACCAACATGGATTGGGTTAATATTTTTGTCCACAACAGTCCCCCCTTAAAATAACTATTTACGAAAGAGAGAGACAACTACTAACGAACCCTAATGATGTCCCTAATTCTCTGCAGCTCATCTGTCTGAACAGGCCTCGAACGCTTCAATGCGCAGGTATCCCGCAGTGGCTAACCCAGTACATCTCCTGCGTCAGACTTCTGCCCATAGAGACAGACGCTATCCCTATGCTGTCCCTGTATGGAAGCAGTTGTCGGTTTGAGGTGGTGGGACTGAAGAGGTGTGTGTGGAGTGTCACAGTCCATGTCGTCGGTATCCTGATGTAGGAATGTAGGTGTAGTGTGGTCAATAGTCTGACCTACAGTCTTCTGTAAATATTTCTGCACACAGGGCATCACACAGCAAGTCAGGAAGAGAAAGAGAATTGCCACAGTAAGAACTGCCATACCTACTTGAAGGAGAGTTTTCTGCCATCCACTCATCCATCCAAACCATCTGGTAGACCCGGTTGGCTTGCACAAGGTCATTCTGTATAACAAGGGTTTCCCATATCTGTCAACTCTATCTAAGGCACTTTGTGGTCTGTAGCCCCATGGTCGGCCTGTATTCCAACCTGCTGCTTTCCAGGTGCTACAGTGATGTCCCCAATGCCCACCTATCACACACATATATGGGTCCTTTTTATTTGGTATGTCTTTGTATATTGCTGAGTGTTGTGATTGTGGAAAAGTGCAAGTGAAAATATCACAGTAATCAAACGTGAAAGTAGCTACGTGTGTGTTTGAAGAATTATACCAAAATGTATAAACATGATTGTCTTTGGTAATAGCAACTTGTTGGGCCTTTAAGAGGCCTAGCAGCAGACATAGGCACAGGAAGCTCATGATTTGGTGGAATCTGCTTCCTCTGGAACAGGAATTTTCTTGCAGTGTGAGGCGTGTATCTAGGTATTCTTCCCGGCCAACTTTACAGAGGTAGATGTGGTCAATAGGACTTGGAATGGACCATCGAACATTGGCTCAAGAGTGTGTTTTCTTAGGAACTTCTTGACCATGACCCAGTCACCAGGAAGTAGCTTATTTGTGCCTGTATTTAACTCTGGATCTGGAATAGAAGAAAACACCTGTGCATGGATTTTGGTCAAGGCAAGAGAAAGTGCAGTTATATAATCTACCATTGCATCTGACTGGATTTGAAGTTGCTGAGGAAAGTAACAGCCTAACCTGGGTGCTGTTCCAAATAAGATTTCATAGGGGGACAGGTTAAACTTCCCTCTTGGGGTGTACCTTACACTGAACAATGCTATGGGAAGACTCTCCGGCCAGGGTAGGTTAGTTTCTTGGGACATTTTAAGCATTCTGGCTTTCAGAGTGCCATTCATGCGTTCTACCTTACTACTATTCTGTGGGTGATAGGGTGTGTGGAATGCAAGGGTCACCCTCAGTGCTGCCCAGATCGCCTTGGTTAGCAACACGGTGAAGGATGTACCCTGGTCACTTTCAGGGACTGCGTATCTGCAGATGATTTCGGTAAGTAGACACTTTGCCGTGGTCTTCACAGTGAGATTAGCGACCGGGAAAGCTTCTGGCCATCCTGAAAATATGTCCACTATGACCAGTGTGTATTCATACCAGCCACTCTTTGGCATTTGGATATGATCAATTTGGATCCTCTGGAAAGGGTACTGTGGTTTGGCCAAATGTTTTGGTGCAGCTTTAATTATTTTCCCTGGATTACATCTGGCGCAGATGGTACAGGATCTGCAGTAATTTCATGTCAAGGTAGTGATTCCAGGTGCTTTAAAATATTTATCAATCAAAGAGTTCATGAGGTGCTTAGATAAAAGAGCTGGTCCATGGGCCAACTGAACGACAGCTGGATACATATTCTTGGGTAGACAGAATTTGAGGTTGATTGTGTATATTTCATTCTGGAGGGTTGCTCCTTTGTCTTTCCAGCTTTGTTTTTCTTGAGGGGTGGCGGCGGCCTGCTGTTCTCTTAGGAGCTGGAGATCAGTGGGTAGGGTTTGCATAGTGTAAATAGGAGTCTTTTCGTCGGACACTCTTCTGTCCACTTACCGACACTGGCGCGCCGCATCCTTAGCGGCCTGGTCGGCAAAATTTTTGCCATGTGCTTCTTCTGAATTTAGTATCCCGTGGGCTTTTACCTTCAGTATGGCCACCTCTTCTGGAAGTAGTAAGGCATCCATCAATTCTCTGTGATGTTTCACAGGAGTACCTATTGCTGTAAGGAACCCCCTGGTTTTCCAGATTAAGCCAAAGTCATATGCCATGCCCAGGGCATAACTTGAGTCTGTGTAAATATTGACACGCTTCCCTTCAGACAACTTGCATGCCACCGTAAGGCTATTAGTTTGACTTCTTGTGCTGACTTAGATGAGGGGAGTGAAGATGCTTGGAGTATTTGGTCCTCTGTGGTGACTGCATATCCGGTATGATATTGTCCCTGCTCATCTGCGAATCTAGAACCATCCACAAACAGAGTGTGGTCAGGGTCCGGTAGAGCAGCCTCGTGCACTGTTGGGAGATGGGTAGTTTCCATTTTCATCTGTTCAAAACAATCATGAGGGGCGTCCGGGTACTGTTCTGTAGGAGGGATGTCCTCACATATCTCTGTGTGATATCGAGGGTAACCAACAGTTTTGCAATTTATGGTCCTTTTAATGACCCCCGTCACTGTGAGTTGTTCTTGAGTTGCAGTACTCCATGTCTTGGCCATTGGGCTGAGTTCTTTCCATGAGAGATCTGAAGACTTGGTGAAAGAGATATGAGGAACAGCCACCTCCCAATGGTGATATAAATGTGATACCTCCATAGGCAGGTAGACTAGGATAACAATCTTTCCTTTGGAGTCACATAACAGGTCTGTCAGTGTGATGTGTATTTCCACCAGGCTGAATAATTCTTCTTTATAGTATGGGTCAGGACCTGTGGTGTCCCTGAACCACAAGGTGCAATGTAATTGGCTCTCGGGCTGTTCATCATGTGGAACTGTGGGCTTTTCTATTTGAAGTTCCATGTGAACATCAGGATTTATGTTCAGGCTGTACCAGTATTGCGGCACTCCCCCCTTGGGAAGTGGCAGAAGAGTGGCCGGATTCAAGGAGTAACATCATTGTAAAATAACATTATCAGGCAAGAGGAGGGAGGTTTGAAGGCGTAGATGTCTGAGATGAGAGATGCTTTGGCTGAACCTGATTCAGGATTGCAGCGATATCATGGGGAGCAAGAATTGTCAGTTTATGTCCGAGAACAAAGTCATTAGTTTTGTCCAGTAGGGCACTTGCAGCAAAAACAGCACGCAAACAGGAAGGACAACCCCTGGCCACGGGGTCAAGCAGGCAGGAAAAGTACCCAATAGGGCGCTGACAGAAATCCGTGGGACTGAGTAAGGACTCCTGAAGCATAGCCCATCTTCTCTGAGACGAAAAGTTTAAACGGTAGCTGGTAGTTAGGCAGGCCCAAAGCAGGGGCAGAGGAGATGGCTCTTTGAAGAGCATGGTAATAGGTGTGGGCTGTAGAAGACAATGAAAAATGTTCAGTCTTTAAAGTATCATAGAGAGGTTGCATGAGTTGAGAAGCCTCAGGAAACCAAGATCTGCAGTATGCGATAAGGCCCAAGAAGGCATGAAGAGCTTGATGGTTAGATGGTAGGGAGAGATGTGTAATGGCAAGTACCCTGTTCGTCGTTAGATGACGGGTGCCATGGAAAAGGCAATGTCCCAAGAAGACCACAAAGGGCCGGCACCACTGGAGTTTCGACTTGGAGGCTTTACAACCTTCTTCAGCGAGGAAACAAAGGAGATCTTCGGAATTCTGTTCAGCAGTTGGAAAATCATCCGCACAGAGAAGTAAATCATCTACATACTGGAGCAGGACCACATCTGGGTGGGATTTCGGCCAGGGTTCTAGGACAGCTGACATAGCTTTGGCGAATTGGGTTGGGGAATTTTGTGCACCTTGAGGCATGACAGTCCAAGTATACTGTTGATGAGGGATCCAAGGGCACGCTGAAAAAGGTGTTGGCAAGATCAACCACCGTGAAAAATTTAGCTGTGGGAGGAACCTGTGACAACAGTGTATGTGGATTAGGTACAATAGCCGTATCACGGTTTGTGACTTCACTAACAGCGCGGAGGTCTTAGACCATACGGTATTAGTCAGGTTGACCTTTTTCAGTTTTCTTCTTTACTGGGAATAGAGGCGTGTTACACTGTGATACACACTTGACCAGTGCACCTTTTGCCAACAGGCTATCAACTTGTTTGGAGATGGCGAGGGCTTGTGCAGGTTTCATTGGATACTGTGGTCTTCGTGGTGCACTGGCTCCCTTAATTAGTGTAACTACCACTGGTGGGACTCATAGGCGTCCGATGTCATCTGGGCCCGTGGACCAAATTTTAGTTGGAACCCTATCCAGGGCACTGGGAGCATCTGGGACCCTTACTTCCTTGGCGGGGGATGTCATATGTAGTAGTAGGGGCAGAGAGCAAAGGACAGAAGTATCTTTGCGAGAAAGGGGGGTAAGTAATTAAACCTGGCCATCAGCAGTAAAAGAGATAGAAGCTTGAAGATGAGACAGAACATCTGCTCCTAAAAGGTTAATTGGACAGGTGGATGAAACAACGAACCGAGAGAGAATGTCAGAACCAACCCGCAAGAGCTTACTCAATGGGTTGTTTCTGGGGGTACCGTTGACACCTACACAAGAAACATCTGTGTCAGATAGATAAGATGGGTACGCCAGGTCTTGTTCTCTGAGAACACTGCGGGCTGCACCTGTGTCAACTAAAAAGGTAGTAGTATGACCGTCAACTGGTAGGACAAGTGTAGTTAGGGGTCCCCCCTTGTCCCCTGTAGACACTGCCATGACAGGGGTGTTAGACACAGGTTTGCCGGTTACCTATTGTACAAGGTCTAGATGAGATTGATCAGGGCCAGTGTAATGACGTGTTGGTGTGTTAGAGTGGCTGGCCTGATGGGGTTGAAGGGTAGGGCGATAATGACTCAGTGCTGGGTGATCATCTTGTTGGAAATCATCTGTATCTTAACTATCAGGGGAAGGGTGAGCATAGCTGCGGGGTGGGGGGTGAGTATTAGATTGAGGGGTTTGGTAAACAGCTTGGGCGTATTCCTGAGGAGGGTAATACGATGCATGTGCCTGAGGATATACCTGTGGTGGGTAAACTGGTTGGAGACCACCATACGTGGCTGCAGGGACATTGGGGTACTTGGGGGGTCTAGTGGTCGGCTGTCTAGGCACCCTGGGGTGTGGGCAATCTCTCCGGAAATGGCCTTGTTGGTTACAATTAAAGCATGCCCTGGTCTGAGGCCTAGGTGTCATGTGCTGCCCCTGTGCAGCTGGCAGGGTGGATAGTGTGGGATAACCTGGGAGCACCTGGGTGGGTCTGGTGACAGGGCTGTAAACAGAAAACATGAGAGGATTACTTTTCCTTTGGCGTTGCTGTAGAGCAGATTCTAGGCCCTTGGCAACTAGTAAGAGTGTCCAAAGGAATAATTCTATATTCGGGGTGAGAAAGCACTAAGCCTTTCCTGATGGCTTCCTTAACGCCAGCAACAAAGGCAGCGGATAACATCTGGGTATGTGCTTTGTTATATACACTGAATCCGAGATCGGAGAAAGTTTGAGTCAACCATGAATTATATTTTTCCGCAGATTCGAGTTTGTCTTGTATAATGTCATTTATACAAGTGGCTTGGTCAGCTAGTTTATCCTGGGCCCAGGCCCGAAGCTGTTCACAGAATGTAATACCCGGCTGGTAATCCATGTCGGTAGTGAGTAGAGCATCATTAAAACTCCTTTCCATAATGGGCCAATAGGCATCCCCAGCCTTGCTCTCACACAAACTATACAGATCACACCAGGCTGCTGAGTATGTCTTGTGAATCTGGGCAATCCTCCGGAAGAAGGGCATGGGCTACTTCTCAGGGTCGGGAAGGGAGGTTACTAGGATTGCAGCTTGGGATGGGTTGAACGTAACATACATTGGGGGAGCCCCTTCCAATAGTGGTAAAGCAGGGGTTGCCTGTCTCTGGGAAACCCTATTATGCGAAGGACAGAATGGGCTAAGCCCTTGCACATTGTCATCCTCGGGGGGAACCGGGAATGGGAGACCATGATAGCTGGCAACATCTGGTGAAATAGGGGCTTGAGCGGCTGGAGAATCGGAGCCAGGAGTACCGACAGTGATGGCCTGGGGAGTAACTAACTGGGAGGTAGTGGGATGGAAGCCTGACGCGGCAGGAGAAGTGCCTACAGCAGGAGGCTGTCCCGACACGGTAGACTCATTCGACCCAACGATCATGAGTGGGTAACTGGGAGTTGCCATAGGAGAGGCGGGGACAGGAACTGGACTGGGTGAGGGTTCGGGCTGAGTAGGCAGAGGGAGATAAATGGAGAGGGCGGAGATGAGTGACAAAAGGTCGAAGGAGGGAGGGGTAACAGGATTGGAGGCGGGAAGAGGAAAGGAATCTGGAACGGGGACAGAAGGGGTGGCGGGGAGAGGAGAGGAAAGAGCAGGAGTAGAGGGAATAGCAAGAGAAGCAGAAAGGGTGGAAATGAGTGAAGAAAGATCGAGGGAGGGAGGGACAACAGGAGTGGAGGTGGGAAGAGGAGGGTTATCTGGAGCGGTGACAGAAGGTGTGGCGGGGAGAGGAGAGGGAGGAGCAGGAGTAGAGGGAATAGCAAGAGAAGCAGGAAGAGCGTAAATGAGTGACAAAAGATCAGGGGAGGGAGGGAAAACAGGAGTGGAGGCGGGAAGAGGTGGGGAATCTGGAGCGGGGACAGAAGGGGTGGCGGG